GTGGTTTAGTATTTAGAAAAATAAACAGATCAGTGGTTTCCCAGAGAGTAGAGGTGGCCAAGAGGCTTGTGGGGGATTTTAGATGGCACGTTAGCAGTAGGGGTTTTCTGTCTTGATAATCACTGTGTGTGTTTCATTATGGCAGGGTGCTGTGATTCACTACAGTTTGTGAGTTCGGCCCCTGTCTCTGCCACTGACTAGTTGAGCCATGTCACCTCAGTCTTATTACTCACCTGTTCCCTGCACTTTATGCATCTTGAATTTCAGAGCATCTTGGGGGTTCCGGAAAACTGTTCCCCGGTGTCCAAAGGCCTAGGGGCACAGGGTGGTGGCTGAATGAACTGCCTTTACTTGGCTGATAGGAGTCAAGGGAAATGGTTCTTCCTAGTTGAAAGGAATTGGGAATCAATCTCTTGGATCCCTTGACCACTCCTCACACTGTCAAAATAATCCCAGTGGCCTCTGGTGTTTTTACTGCAGATGCTCTTCAGAGGGCTTCAGATGGAGCATTGACTTCCAAGGTATGGTCACTGGGCCAGCAGCAGCAGTGGCCTGTGGGTACAGAATTGTTCTCAGCCTCCACCCAATCCTCCTGAATCAGAAGTGGGAAAGGGGCCAGCTGCTCTCTTGACAAGCCCTCTTGTGCACGGGGGATGTGAGAGCCATTTATTGGGTAAATTAGTCAGCTTTCTGTCACTGTAATAAAATGCCTGAGATAATCAACTTCTAGGGAACAAAGTTTCATGTTGGCTCATGGTTGTAGAAGTTGCAGTCCATGGTCATTGGCCCCACTGCTTTGGGCCTGTGCTGAGGCAGAACATCATGGTGAGAGTGTGTGGCAGAGCACAGCTGCTCATCTCATGGAGGCTAGAAAGCAAAATAAAAGAGAGGGGAACTGGCCAGGGATAAAATATACCCTCCAAGGGCACATCCCCAGTGATCTAGTGACTCCATCCTCCAGTCCTAACACACCCCCTGAGGTTCCACCATCCACAGGTGAGGTTGGAGCCCTCGGGATCCAGTCACTTTCCAAAGCCCCCACCTCTGGGAACTGCTGCATTGGAGACCAAGCCTTCAACTCATGAGCCTTTGCAGGACATTCCAGATTCAAATCATGTCCCTGGGTCCCCTCACCCCTCCACCTCAAGTATCATGCCCACCCCCCGGTTTTCAGATGAGGAAGTTAAACAGGAGGATGCTGTGTGCTTCTTGTTGGGTTTATTCTTTCAGTCAAGGGCAGAGAGCCTGCTTTCTCTGGGCAGCCTTCTTCCATTCCCCCACCTAGTCCTCACCATAGCTGGGGGCGGCTCTTTGTCTTCATCTTGCAGATGAGTAAGGGAGCACGTGGGGGGTCATGACAGAGTGAGCGCTCATGGTTTACGGGACCAGTGCCTAGACTAGTCTACTCAAATAATTCAAAGAATGTGATCCTAGCCATTATCTCTTACCCAAGCCTAGGGAGCTAAATGCCCCTGTGGGTTACCTCCTTCATCATCCCCTAGGAGTCGCCAGCTGTGGTTCACCATCTGCAGAGAGTCTCCTTCCATAGCCCCTCTGATGCCACATTCACGAAGGTTTCCCTGGCTTCCTGGCTTTGCTGCAGCCTCCCTGATCGGAGATGCTTAGGGGAAGTGTGCCTCCGGGCCCAGTGCCTGGAGGGGAGCCAGAGCCCTGGGGTGCTGCTAATGCTGGCGTTGGTCTGAATTTCCAGACGATGGGGACGAGTTGACCTTTATATGCTCTGAGCCCAGCACTGTGCTGGCACATCAGAGACCGCGAAAACATTCATGCCCTGAATCCTTCCTGCAGATTCTAAAATGAAGGTCTTCACTTGACTCCAGGTGTCAGCAATGAAACCTGGTTCACAGCTCTGCCCGCACCTCACCTGTGTCTTCAGGTGCAGCTTGCAGAGGTTCAAGGTGTGCTGAGCAGCATGTGGTGAACTAAAGGAAGTGAGCGGAAACCTTCAGGGTTTCCTTGGAAAGAGGCTTTGTGTGTGTTAGTCTGAGAACTTCGTGAAACTCCTTAAAGTTATGAACAAAATTTATAAGTCTCGGCTTTACGCTAGTGCCCCGCCCTTTAGAGATCAGCAAATATCCCTGAACACCTTAAAGTCCTCTGCTTTCCTTCCAGCCTCAAGGGTAGATAATGTGCTGGGGAGGTCCTGCTATTGGTCAGGACTGGCAGGACACAGATTGCACACTCAGGGGCGAAAGGGTTCAGGGGCAAGATAAAAGTGTGGGTAAATTAAGGGCAACCTGCCAGGGAGGTTATGCTCTCTGGAAGGTGTTGCTACACCCCCAGGGGCTGAAGGAGAAGTGGGAGGGGTAATGGCACTGGGAATTCCCAAGGACCCTGAGGGGAACTGGGGAAGATCTGACTTTTCAGGCTCCCTGGGTGCCTCTCATTGATCAAACTCAACCAGAAACAGAGCAAAAAGACGCCTGGTTAGTTTAGCCTATTAAGGCTGGGCTCCGAGGGTTCAGGATAAGCTGGGAGGTAGAGGAAGGAGAGGAAATGAGAACATCATCCCATCCTCCATCCACACTTTGTGGGAAGTAAAGATGAGTGTGGTGAGCCTGAGACCTACCATCACAAGGCCCGAGAGGAAGGCTGAGCCAGAGGAGACCCCATCACAGAATGTGACATTTAGACCCCACCCTTCTAGAGGAAGAATGGAAGGTCTTGGTCCTGAGGATCATCTGTCATCCACTGTACCAAGAAACTTACAACCTAGACTTCACAGCTGCAAAACCTGATGTTAACATGATGATGATTCTGCCTACAGGAAGCTTCATCCCTGTTCCCTGTTCTGTCCATTCCAGCCCCTACCCTGACCCTCTCTCATTGTTCACTTGGGCACCTGCAACATTTTAGGCCACCCCAAATCCTTCCAAGAGTATATTTGATGATGCTGTAATTTTCTCCTTTCCTAGGTAGCAGGGCCCTGCTGCTAGAGCTCCAGATGATGAATTTATTCATAGTGGCAGGTGTACTGGATGAAACTAAAGAGATTGGAAAATTATGTAAAATGTTTGAGAATGTGCACACTAGCGCTTACATTTAATGGGCCCATTTGAAATAGTCCCTGAACCCTGAAGCCAAGACAAAGTTTGATATCTGGGAGGCAATGTGTTTAAATATTTGTGATTCAGAAGAGCCTGATTCTGCATGTTTTCCTGATCCTCAACCCCTTCCTGGGTCTGTCTCCGGGGTGCAGGCTTCTTCCTATTCATTTCCTTCATGATTTAAATGGGGGCAGTTGCATCTGCATTATAATCCTTCATCCTGAGTCTATTGGAGATATTATCCTGAGATAAGTAATGACGCCTTCATTGTACAGGTGGGGAAATTCAGATGTGCATGATTAGACTGAGCAAAGGCAGCAGTAGAATCCAGAAGGATCTGAACTCCTCCCCACCCCTTGTTTTCCTCCCCCTTTCTTCCTAAAAAAGGGGTAACTTGACGTTTTGGGGAGGAAAAATCTTTGTTGGGGGGCATTTTTGTGCACTGAAGAATGTTTAGTCGCATCTGAGGTCTCTACCCAATACATTCTAGTTGGACATGGTGGTGCAGGCCTGTAATCCCAGAGGCTTGGGAGGCTGAGACCACGCCCTTCTCCAGCACTTGTTGACACCCTAGAAGGTCTCAAGGCATCCTGGAATGTCAAGACCTAGGACCAGGGAGGAGACAGCCTCCTGCCGAGAGGCACTGCCTTCCTGTCCACCATGTGAACATCCAGACTCTCAGGTGGTTGGATTAAGTAGCACTAAAGACACAGGATATATTTTAAAATCTTTTATATTATTTCTGATGTATCAGCAGGGTTAGGGATTCCATTCCAGAGTTCAAGTTCCAATTCTCTCAGCCTATTTCCTGAGAGCCTAAGGAATGTCCTTCTGCAGTCCTGCAGGAGGGGGCATGACTGGGGTGGCAGTCTGGACAGATTTCCACAGGGAAGGCTGCTTCCCAGCAGGACAGAATCTAGGCATGCACTGTCTGTTCTTCAGGAGGCCAGATGACATCCTGTGCAGCTTGCCGTAGAGCAGGGCTTTGTCAAGCCAAGCCACACATCAAAAAGGATGATTATCAGAAGCAGGAGGTAAACAGGAATGCTGCTGGCAGCAGGGCTAGCTGGCTGGAAGTCCCCAGTCCAGCCAGGAAGCTTTGAGCGTCTGCAGAGTCTTTGCCTTAATAATCCAATCACAGCACTCCCAGACACCCAGGTGCCCCACCTGGGCACTCAAGAGGGCATTTTTGGTATGATTGGAGCTCAGTGTGCTGAGCAAGGTGTTCTGCTCTTGACACCTGTTCTTCCCTCACTCCAAGCAGTCGCCTGTAAGACCTGGGTTATGCCCCTTCCGTGCGGTCAGTCAGCTGACTCTGGTGGCTTCCCTGGGTCCAAGGACAGGGCGGATGGTACATCCGAAGCCTGTGCTCCTATCATTTTAGAGTTGCTGAACTGTAGGTTTTCCTTCAATTCCTCCAGTCTTGATTTTCTTTGAATGATCATCCAGTGGGGACCTGGAGATTTTGGCCCCTTTGTCTCTGATGTCACTGTTTCGTTGACTCTAACCTAAGAGAGATTCAGAGACTCACAAACTGTGTGAGCCATGGCCTCTCCTCTGGACCCAGATGGTTGATTCATCCTTTCAGGGTGTATTTCTTCCTCCTCTGTTTTACCAGTCATCTTTGTCTTTGTGCTTGGGGGCAGGGGACACAGTGTTTGCCTATTTGAACCAATCACCATTTCTCTCATCCCCAAAATGTAATTGAAAAGAGTCTTAATGGCTTCCAAATGATGATAGCTCCATAAACCGATTAAAAAGGCTTTAATAAAACTGTCTTGCGATCCTCTCGCAGAGGCAGATGGTGCCCTTTGTTGTCTAATGATCCCAACTTTAAAAGAAGGGCTTTTGCTTCCTTGCCGGGCTGCAACTCTGGAAAGGCCATCTCCCTCCTGTCTCAGTGTTCATCCTGTGTTCTTCTCCTCCTCCCAGACGATCCACGTCGCCATCGTCTGTGCCGGATACAATGCCAGCCGGGACGTCGTCACCTTGGTCAAGTCCGTCCTCTTTCACAGGTAGGAGCATCCTTTACATTCTGTGGGCTGGGGTATCTCCCTGGCTGCCTGGGGGAGGGTTAAATAAGAGTGACATTTCACCCTTCTTTCTTGCTGCCATGAAAACACAATTTTTCTCCCCAATCCTGGGAAGGTTATTGTGGTCATAATGTTTCCTGGCAACAGTTAGGTGCTACCTTGCCATGGTGAGAGTTGTAGCTCTCAGATGTCGAGGGACCTTCCAAGTCACCCCAGATTAGGTGCTTCAGTTGTACCTAAGCTGTAAGCAGCTTCCCCTGCTGCCATTCACCAGATCTCTCTTTTTATGTACCCCCCTTGGAAGGTTATGTCTTGTGTCTCCCCAAAATTCATATCTCAAAGCCCTAAACCTGGTACCTCAAAATTCCACTGTTTGCTGATAAGAACTTAAAAGAAGTGTATAAATTAAATAGATCTATTTGGGTGGGCCCTAATATAATATGACAGGTCTTTTAGGAAAAAGGAGATCAAGACATAGACCCTTAGAGAGGGAGACCATGTGAACACACAGAAGACAGCCCTCTACACACCAGGAGGGGTGGTCTGAAGAGATCTCCAATTTCTAACCTGCAAAACTGCAGAAAAATAACCTTCTGTCATTTCAGCCAGCTATTTGGGGCATTTTGTTATGGCAGCCCTCCTAAACTAATACACATTACTTTCTCTGGCCCATCTGTGGGCATTTGTGACTGTTGAGAAGTCCTGCTTTATATTAAACTGAAATCTACACTTGCCCATAGCTAATATTTGTTGCCCCTGGTGGATTCAGTTATGGAACCAGTTTAAGAATTGGTTTCTCATCCACCTGGAAGCAGAGGTGCCTCTCGAGAGTCTTCCCTAAGTTAAACTTTCACCATTTACTTGCTCTCTCATGGGACGTTTCTTCTGTCCTCACACCATTTTGGTTGACATCTAGACATACTCACATCCAGAATCATGTCTGCATTTCCAGCTGGTGTCCTCGGCTCTGTGCTAACTTCTTACCAAGAGTTCAGAGGAAGCTCATCCACAATAAATAGTGCAGGGTATATCAGATGATCAAGGCCGGCTCCAGAAGGTTCTCGTCAGAAGCAGAGTCTTGAGAAGCTCTCAGAGTTCAGGGTAAAGCTTTACACCTGAATCCCAACATGTGGCCCAACATGTGGCCCAACTAGGGATGGGTGACACCAAGACATGCCAACCCTGCGAGACCCTGGGGTTCCACCTTCTCCCTCAGTCCCCCCACCAGGCTGTCTGTCATCATGCCTTGCGGTTCTCCGTAGATGTCCCTCAGGTCCACCCCTTCCTCTGCATCCCACTGTGGCTGTCACAGCCTAGGTATACCTGTTCTCTGACTCTCAGATGTCTTCCTGCCCTTCAGACCCACCTCTTCTGACACCAGCATTGTATTTCAGACAGGTGGCTGTGATCTCTTACAATCTTTCAATGGTTTTTCCTTATCAAGGGGAAAGAATTGAACCTCTTTGCCATGACATGATGACAGTGGGGGGCTCTGAGATCATTCTCCATATCCCTGTCCCTCCTCTCCTTGCTTTGACTTCATGCCCTGCAGCTCTGAGCTGCTCGTAGCTCCCTGGCCTCTCCTGGGGTTCCACTGGCTGATCTTCCTGGCAGGCCATCTCAACACTTCATCCCTATTCTTCTTCTGCCACACCCACAGTGGCAGCTCCCCCCACTGTTGGTTTTGTGTTGCTGTGACAAAATACCTGAGATCAATGACTTAGAGAAAGAGAGACTGATTTTGGCTCACAGTTTCAGAGGTTTCAGTCCATTGTTGGCTGGCTTCATTTTGGGGGGGCTTTTGGTGAGGCAGAGCATCATGGTGGAAGGGCATGGTGAAGCGACATTGTTCACGGCATCTGGGGCCAAGAAAGAAAGTGACAGAGACAGAGGGGACCGACTGAGAGAGAGGAAGGGGTAGGATATACCCTTCTCTTCTTATTATTTTTTATGTTTTAGTTGTAGATGGACACGACACCTTTATTTTTATGTAGTGCTGATGATCAAACCCAGTACCTCAAATTGCAAGGCAAGAGCTCTCCTGCTGAGCCACAACCCCAGCCCCAGGATGTACCATTTAGGGGACATCCCCAGGGGTCTTCTTCCCCCAACTGGACCCCACCTCCTACAGTTTCTTCCACCTTCCATTAAAGGCATCAAATTACTAATGCATCAATGGATTAATCCACTGAGAAGATGAGAGCCCTTATGATTCAATCACTTCCTCACAGCCCCACCTCTGCACATGGCTGCATTGGTGACCAAGCTTTCAACACATGAGCCTTTGGTGACATTCCAGATACAAATCATAATAACCTCTTACCATGGAAGTCTTCACAGGTATCCCTTTAACGGAGAGCCCTTCTGTGCCCCTCACCTGGGGTGTTGGCCTCTCTTCCACCAGATGGCAGTACCCTGTGCATCTTTCTGTTGTATTTCCTACGTTGTTCTCTATGTATCCATCCAAAGTATGTTTTCTGTGGCAGAATGTAGGCTTCACTATACCTTATTTTTCTGTATCCTCCGTTATCTTAGCAAATATCTGTCTTAGCGAATATCTTGATGCTTGGTGAATGTGACTCTGGGCCCTCGGGTAGTGAAGAACCTGGAGATACATTCATTCAATCAACCAGCTGACAGGCCCAGCCTAGACTTAGTTCAGTTTCCGATTTTATTCAGAATTGCCACCACACAGCTGAGTGACTTTCAGCGGGTCACTTAAACTCTTTAGTTCCTATATCACTTAGCTTTTGCTCTGAAGCTGTTCACTTTAGCTTTCTTGGTTTACATCATGTACCTCTTCCTACGCTCACCTTGGTGTTTCTTTTGCACCGCCCCCCACCACACACACAGGTGGCTGTATTTAGCTGCAGGTTAGCCAAACATCAACTTGGCTGTCCTATTGCAGTGGGGACCTGGTGGAAGAAGGGAGCAGGAAACCTACATAATAGTGTCAGTTAGAGAAGGGATCTCCCACCTCTTCTTCCTCCTCTGTCCACTTGGGACTATGATTTCAGTTGCCCACTGGAGGAAGAAAGAGGACTATCAGGGAAGGAATGGCCAATGGGGCTCAACCCCGTGGTCTTCCGGTTCCAGGGGGGATGTGCGTCCCACACGGCCCAGGCTGCTGTGCCGTGTTTGAGCCTCCTGTGGTTCTGCAGCCTTCGCCGGCTGCTTGAAACCAGGGGCCGTGTTAGCTGAGCCCTGAGTCAGATGAGATGAGTGAGTCTCTGCTTGTGTTTGTTGCCTGTCTCCCTGATAGAAAGAGCCCACTGTTCTGAAAAAAGGTATTTGCATGATTATAGATATTCAATTATGCTATTTCTCAATTATGACTAATTTTAAGGTCACAGGATCTTCCTAGGTTATTGTCGAGTATAAATTTTATTCCTGTTGCTTTTGCTACAGATCACATCATCCAGTAGTTGTTGAAATTGTGAAAACCCTGTTGAGTATAAACTTTCACTCCTACAGTCACCATGCAGCACAAAGAAGTTAAAATTAAAAATAGCAGTTTTATTGTCAGCAGCTGCTGGCAGGACTCCCTTCCATGCGGGCCCAGGGCTTGGGGAATAAAGGCAGTTTAATGTTTGTAATGAATATTCTGCCACTCTGTGAATGGCTGCTTGATCTTCCTGGACCAAATACCACTGAAGCCCACCCCAGTCTCTGAAATCCTAGGAATAAGAAGGATTGTGTGAACTGAAGTGCTGGTGATAATGAGTTGGGACATCAAGACAAAAGGACATTGAACAGACTTTCAGCTCAGAAAGTCCAGCTATAAATAGCTTCATTGCCTCCCAAACATGTATGGAGATTTACTAAGACATGATTATGAAATATGTTGACAAATGAAGAGCCTTCCTAATGTTAATAATATAATAATAGTGACACACAGTGCTTCTTTTGGCTTTCACTGTTAATTACAGTCATTATATTTATTTTCCGTGCAGGATTTTCAGCAAATTTTCACTTAAGTGTGGCTTCGTTATGTCAATTTTCTTTCTGCGGTGCTGACAGTGGGCATTCTACATTTTAAAAGGTGGTAAGAGAGTTATGTGAGCACTCTTGTCCACCAATACTCGCGGAGAAAATTTGTTGCTGTAAAGTTTTGGAAACAAATTTCATTATATATGCCAAAGGCCTTGTCCTTGTCCTTGTAGGATGACCCAAGCTAGAGAAAAACCTTTTCAAAAATATTGAATCTATTTTAAAACAATAAGAATAATTGAATATCTTCTTATAATAAACCGTGCACTCAGCTTTAGAAAATATGTCATCACACAGAGCAATGCAGATGATCTAAAATGAGCAAAAGTAAAATTCAAAATGGAATGCGTCACCTGAACTCCAGTGTCCAGACAGGCATGCACGCACGTACAGGGTCAACATACAGGGATGAGAAAATAGCAGAAAATATATGAAAATGTCACTTTTGCAAATTGTGTTTGGGTGAACTTTGTTTATATTTTCTCCGTTTCATATATTTTTGGGTCCCGTCATTATGTAGCCTCTATGTTGATTAAAAAAAAAGGTGGATGAGAAAAAAAGATACAAGGTGTATGTGATGATGTTTTAGTATTAGTAGAAAATAGCATAATACACACCTCCGCAGAAGAATATTCAGTGAAAAGTTTGGAGAATGCCAGGAACACCAATCCCAATGGTAAATCAACTGGGAAATATTGCTGCTCTTGAAGAAAACCCAGCACTTAGCAGGCAGAGAAAATAAATATTTATTTAGTAACTAAGCGTTTACCTCCTGGGCAAGAGGGTGGATGGCTTGTAAAATTTTAATGTTTTTTTGCCATGATGATCTACTGGCTCGCTCAGTCTGCATTCCTGTTGGCAGGGAGAAAATAGTTATTACCCTTACTTTGCATATCAAGCAGTTTTTCTTCTTACTGTTTTTAAAAACTTCCCTGATGCCCCTGGAGATCGGGGAGGGTAAAAGTGTGTCTGTGGCCAGCATGTGCCTGTGG